ATTCTGGTTTCATATTGCATTTGAACTTATTACAGAGCTTTGTATCTGATTATAGCCTTTGTAGATTACAGAAACAAATTTTTATTAAAATTTGCCTTCAGCCTAACTTGAACCATTGATCTAGTCTGTGAGGTTTGAGAGCTTAACCAATAAGCTATAGGACCCAAACCCAAATCAGAATCTATTATAACTTTATATTTATATATATTGTATAATAAAAATTTCTATATATCTTAAAACCAGATTTTAACTCTATATAAGATATATAGAGTATTATATAATATAGTATTATAAATATAATATTTCTTTATTTATTTATTTAAATTTAATTAATATTTCAATTAATTATATAAATTACCAGGATGTGAGTAGAAACCACTAATCAGATTTAGACTATAAGACTCTAACTATATAGTATGATTTCTTTTTCTTCTGCTACTTATAATAATGTTTAAAATAATATATAATAAATAAAAAAGAATAAATATTAGTATTATACCTTGTTATATGAATTATTTGTTACAAGTCATATAAATTCAAATATCATATGATAGATGCATTATATAATTTCACGATTTTGTAGTACTATAATAAACTTATTTTTGTCAGTTTAAATAATTTTAAAAGCTTACTCGCTCGCTTGTTTATCTTATAGCATTCGCTTATTTCTGACAAAACTTAACTTAACTAAACTGATCTCACAACAACAGTTAACAGTCTTTAAGTATTTTTTAAGCAATAATTTCTAACAGAATCTATCTTATTCGTATTAGCTTTTTTTAGCATTCGCAAATTTTTTTTAATTTAACTGATCTAATGATGTTTTTCAATATTTTCGTATCTTTATAACAAATTTAAATTAAATAGGCAAAGGTGACCTCAAAATATGACTGATCAAGCAGTTAATTGTGAAGCTAGTACTTTCTATGCAGTTAATGCTGAAGCCAATGCTTCTAATATCTTACACATAATTAATACTAAAACTAATACACTTTGCAATAATGTAGTTGATAATGAAGCTAGTACCTCTTATGAGAATACAATTAATGAGAGGGCTAATAATACAGATACTGTATTAGTAAAGTAAAAACATAGTATGTTTTAAATATGGTTTTAAGTTTATTTCAATTATATAAAAATATCTTCAAGCGAGAAGGCTAATAATACAGGTACTGTATTAGTAAAGTGAAGCCATAGTATATTTTAACTTGGTTTTAAGTTTGTTTCAATTATGTAAAAACATCTTCAAGATACTATATGATTTTTCTTTGCTAAAGGTTGATTATACATTTCGGTTATAAGATAATGTCGATTTCTTTCTTAAAGTCTATAGTCAATAAAAATAATTTTAAAACTCTTTCTCATAGATCCTAATTCCATAAGTAAACAATAAAAACAAAACACGGTAAAAGAGTAAAGACCTCACAGTAACTATAT